AAAATAATAATAATAAAAAACAAAACAAAAAATAAATTAATGAAAAATTTGAAAAATAAAAATATTGACGGAATATTTTTTTTTTTTTTTTTAATGCAATAATAATTTTCTTAATTTTAATCAATGGCACGAATTCTTCATATGCATGTGCAGTTTAAAATGCATGTGCAGTTTAAAAAATTTCATGATTTTTAAATATAAAGACACTTATCCCGCTTGTGGCTCCATCTAGAGAGAAAAAAAAACCTAGTGATGTTGCAGGTTATAACTAATCAGAATCTAGGTATTTTATTTTAAATGTTTTAGCCAGTACTGCTTGGCGTCTATATATAAACAAAAAAATAAATAAAAAATAAAATAAAAGTATTTATTTTTCGTTATTTAGTTCCTGAATTCTATATGTTTCGGTAAATACAAAAAAGCATGGAAGTCTGGTATGTTACAGTTAGCAAACATTTTTTAATTCAATTTTTTTTTTTTTTTTTTTTTTTTTAAATTTTTTTTTTTTTTTTTTTTTTTTTTTTTTTTTTTTTTTTTTAATTGTGTTTATTTACGGTCGCTCTAACTTCTAGGGTCATTGGCGACCTCAGTTACACTGTTTTACATTTTATTAGTTGTACATTTTAAACGCATGTAATTATTATTGTTTATAGCGAGAGAGAAAAGTAATACAAAAAAAGAGAAGTAAAAGGTATGATTATTGAATAATATTTATAATAAGTACTCATTATATTTCTTTAAATAGTTTGATGATTTTGATGAATTGAAGAGTCTTCAGGCATCCGGAGTGGTCGTCTAAACAGCTTTTCATGTTGTTCGGAAGCTTCGTCTTTCGTCTTTCAGGATTGTAGTTATTACATTCTATAAGAATGTGTTTAATTGTTAATATTTCTCCACAGCGTTGGCATTGGGGACTTGGTTCTTTTGTCATGATGTGTGAGTGTGTCATTTTTGTATGGCCTATACGGAGTCTAGATAGGACTACCTGGTCTATTCTTGATAAGTAAAACTGCGGGAAATTTTCGGTGATGGATTCCCGAACCTGGTGTAACTTGGATGAAGGACCATTTCTCCATTTATCATCCCAATGATTTTTAACTAAGGCTTTAATGTACTTGTTTAAGTCTTTAGGTGCCGGAATGAGGTCTCTGTCAGGTTCCATTTTCTTCGTTGCTTCCTTAGCTTCTTGGTCTGCCGTTTCATTACCTGTTATCCCTTGATGACTAGGGATCCACACTAACTCTATTTCGTAATTCCTGTTTATGAGCTCAACCAGTTTGTTTTGTATCAAGTTTATTAGGGGATTGCAGTTTAGAGGGTTTCTAATGGCATGCAAGGTAGACTTGGAGTCTGAGAAGATAACGGCTTGGTGTTGTGTTGGGTTGTCTTCTATTAATTTAATAGCTTTGTGTATAGCCCAAGCTTCACAAGTAAATATGGAATGGTAATCCTGTAGTTTGATACCATATGAAGTGTTGTTGATAATTACAGAGCATCCCGCATTGTTATCTACTTTTGATCCATCGGTGTAATATTCTTCATGATGTTCATATTTATTTTTGAGTTCCAAAAATAAATTTCGGAAGGCTAGAGATGGAGTATCTTTTCGAGGATTTTCCGCTAATTCCAGGTTTATTAATTTACTAAGGTTAAACCAGGGGGGACCAGGTCTTCCTATGTCCATACATTCACATGAGAGTTCTAAGTTGAATTCGTTGGAGTATTTTTTTAATCTTATTCTTAGAGGATTCGGTAATGTAGGACGTTGAGAGTAGTTTGCATCTACAGTGGACGTCCTGAAGATGCATTCCTTTACTGGATTGTCTGGTGACATTCTCTTTTTGGCTGCATAGGTCATAACTAATTCTTTGCGTCTTAATGATAGTGGAACTTCCAACGCCTCTGCTAACAGGCTTGTTACTGGACTCGTCCTATAGGCACCTAGTGAGATCCTCAGTGCTGAGTTTTGTAGAGTTTCTAATGCTTTAAGTACGTGAGGATGAGCTGAGTCATAGATTATGGCTCCATACTCTATTTTTTGTCTAATTAGAGCTTTGTAAGTCGTTAGGAGGCAGTTTTTCTCAGCCCCCCAAACAGTCGATGCCAAAGATTTTATAATATTTAGTCGTTTATATCCTATCGATTTTACTGTCTCTATATGTTTCTTCCATGAAAGTTTGGGGTCGTGGATCATACCTAGTATCTTCAACGAATAAACTCTTTTAATTGGATGTCCCCCTAACGTTAAGCAGATTTCCTCACTCTGATGCCCTCTGGTAAAAAGCATGTATTCGGTTTTTGTATCTGAGAATTTGAATCCTGTTCTTTCGGACCATGTAAGTAGCTTATCCAGTGTTGCTTGAATAAGTTCTTCAAGGATTTTCACATCTTTACCTCTTCCTAGTATTGTCAAGTCGTCGGCAAACATGTTTGCCCATAGGGGGCGCTCAATACTATCAAATATGTCATTGATTGTCATCAGGAATAGGACCACACTGAGCACTGATCTTATGGGTACTCCATTCTCTAGTTGTATTGGTTCAGATGTAGTATTATTGACTCTGACTCTGATAGATCGTCTGGTTACAAAGTTAGCAGTGAATGCCAATACATTTCCCAGTAGCTTAAATTCATTGAAAATCTTGAAAATCTTGTGATGCCAAACCATTTCATAAGCTTTCTCCAAGTCTATTGATACCGCAATTGTTTTAGAGTTACTGGCAAAAGCATCACAAATTTCTTCTTCCAGGTTTACCAGATAGTCTAGGGTAGATCTAGCTTGGCGGAAACCATATTGTGTTGGCGATAAGAGCTTATTTGATTCCAGAAACCATCTGATTCTTCGACTGATAATTTTCTCCAAGATTTTGTACATATTGTTCGTTAGAGCAATCGGTCTGTAGCTATTCGTTAAGGTAGCTGGCTTATTTGGTCTCAGAATAGGAATGGCTACAGCTTCTCTCCAGCTTTCTGGAAAGACTTGTTTCTGCCAGATAATGTTATATATTTCCAAGAGATACAGTAGCCCTTTAACAGGCAGGTTTTTTATTAATGAATTTGGTACGTTATCTGGTCCAGGGCTAGAGTTTTTGGCATGGTATAGTACTGTTGTTAACTCCTGCATACTTATTTCTTTATTTATTGGATTGCTGTTGTCTGTGTAGTTGAAGTCGTTGAATTTATCTTGCTCTTCCTTGTATCTTTTGAACTTATCCGTGTAGTTGTTGGTACTTGAGTTAGAAGCGAACGCTGATGCAAGTAGGCTCGATGTAATTGTCGGGTCATGCTGCAGTGTCCCATTGTCATCGGCGATTATTATTCGTTTTGATGTTGAATGGTCGGAGCTGATACTTTTAACCTTGTTCCACAGGACCGCTGAAGGTGTTTGGCTGTTTATGGACGAGACATAGTTCTGCCAGGATTTTCGTCGTTTACTTTTTAGTAATCTTCTTGTTCTTGCTCTTTTCATCTTATACTCAATTTTAAATTTATTATCTGGATCTCTATTCCTATTTTTGGAGTACATATTTTGTGCTTTCTTACTTTCTTCAATTGCTTCATCACATTCCTGATCCCACCATGGTAGATTCTTTTTTCCTTTCTTGCCTGATGATCTTGGAATTGCTATTTTAGCAGCACTCAGAATACAGTTTGTGAATTTATCGACTACTTCATTTATAGAACCATTATTAAATATTACATCTATACTCCAATTTGAGAGGGCGTTGTCAATGGAGTCTTGATAGAGAGGCCAGCTAGCCTGATTGAATTTCCATTTTTTGGGGACTTCAGTGTTGAGCTGTTGGTTGTTATTGTTTGTGGAAAGCTTTACAACGATTGGAAAGTGATCACTGTTAAATGTATCTTCTAAGACTGACCAGTCAAGGAGCAGGGCCAGCTCACTAGATACAATTGTTAAGTCTATGCAGCTAGTGTTTGCATTACTGCTGTTGAAATGAGTTGGTTCGCCTGTGTTCAGAGCAATTAAATCATCATGGGTGTTAAGCCAGTCCGCTAACAGCAAGCCCCTTTGGTCATGATTTTCAGATCCCCACAGAGGATGATGACAGTTGAAGTCGCCTGAGATTATCATAGGTTTTGGTAGGCTTTTAACTAAGTTTTCTAATTCTGGTATACTTAGTTGGGAGCGGTTTGGTAAATAGATACTGCAGATAGAAATGGCTTTGGGGAACTTTATTCTGATAGCTATTGCTTCGAGATTTGTGTTTAAAATAATTAATTCTGGGAGGGTGCTAGGGTTTGCGTAAATAGCGACACCTCCACTTGCTCTAGCGGCATGGATGCGGTTTTCGTGAAAGCAGCTGAAGTTTTTTAGGTCTGAATGGTAATTGTCTCTAAAATTTGTCTCTTGTAGGCATAGAATGTGGGGGTTGTGGATATTATTCAGTAGTTTTATCATTTCAAATCTTGTGTGGAATCCGTTGATATTCCATTGAATAATATCCATAACCAAGGTTGTAGAAGGTTTATTGTTGACTGTAGTCTTGACTAGAAGCTGTGGGATCTTCGGCAGTTTGAATAAACTCTTCAAGTCGTTTCTTCAAGCGGGTGCACCGATTTTTAAGACTTCTATTAAGCTTAGGGTGAATAGTCTGGCACATAAGAATAAGTTCCTCGATGTTTGATGTGTACTTATTTAATGTTTCTTTGATCTCTGTCTTGCCACGAGTTACATCCATTAGACTTCTAAATTGTTTCAGGTTTAGTGGGTAGCTCCCTGGGCTGCTTATAACTTCATAATCTAAGTCCTGCCAGACCTGAGCTTCCGTCCTTTCATCCTGGGCCGGAGACTTAGCTTGTTTTGACTTTTTCTTTTTCCTACCTGCTTTGCTCATGATGAAATTACCATCCAAGCCAGTGCTTGGTTGGTCAGACTCATATTATGAACTGTCTGTGGGTACAATTACCATTAAGTTGTCAGCAGACACTCTGTCTTCCATTCCTGACGTTTCCGTTGTTGCTGAGTGGGGTCGTTTCGTTCCAGCCGTTTTATCTGTTTCAATCTCCATTGATGGTTCTTCTGGAGAACTGGCCGTTGTCTTGAGATCCTTGCTAGCTGAGATCAGCTGGGTTGGAGGAAGAGAATTCATGAGTTCGTCGATCTGGTCTTCAGTGAGATGTTCTTGAGACTGTTCTTGTAAGTCTCTTGCTGGTATGGTTTGATTTTGAAGGTCCCTAGCACCTTCTGAAGAATTTTTAGGGCAGTTTTTTGCAATATGACCCGTATTATTGCAGATAAAGCATTTAAGTGAATCTGTTGACGAGTAAATCCAATAACCAATGTCTTCGTGGTAAACTTGGAAAGAACTAGGTAGTTTTACTTCATCTTCCGGAGAGATATATAATTGTCTCCGGAAGCTGAGAATGTGTGAGTAACCTGGCTCTGAGATGCCAATTTTCATGAAGGTGAGTGAGGACATTGCTCTGATTCCCAATTCTTCTAATTTGTCTGTGATGACATAATGGGGTATCACTGGGCAGACGTTTGACAGGACTACTCTCTTGTTCCTGGTGACTAGAGGTTTGATGGGAAGTACCTGGTCTTTGACTTGGACAGTTTTGCTTACCTCAATAAGGTTATCAGCTGTTTTACTTGAATCTAAGTAAATGCAAACTCGAAGGTTTGCGATTCTCGAACCAAACATTATCGAAGACGGTGGGACTAATTTAGCTAAAGCGAAGATGTAATCTTTAACATCGATGCCCTCGATTGCCTCCAATATAATGGCTTGGTCTTTTTTTGGGAATGACGTTGTGACATTCGCATAACTTACAGGTCTTTGGGTACGTTGGTGTCTTTGTATTTGATCTTGACTGTGTCCAGTGTTTCTTACTTGCATTGTGTTTCCGTTGTTAGGCTTAATCTGTTGGCTGTTGGTACTAGACGTTGTGTTTACGTTGAAATTCATAATCTGTGGGTCACTGGTACTTGGGGTTAGCATTTGGGAAACTCCTGGCCGGAGTTGCCCACTCGTAGATTTTTATTGTCTTTCTACTAGACGTTAATTACAGTGGTATTTAACACCCTTTCTATAATTAATAACTATTTTTAAATCAGTATGAATAACTAAACAATAGTAGCGCTTTGACTTAACCTCAAACTCGCGGTACGTCGAGGTTCGCGTGTCGCTGCGGACTGTGTTTTTTTTTTATTATTATTATTATTTTATTAAATTTCGTATATACTCGTTATGCACAGAAGTACCAAAAAAAAAAAAATGAACTGCTTTACTTCATTTTAACTGGATTAAGTGGCGCCATCGTTTTCACATGAGGAAAATAAAGAAAAAAGAAAAAGTTCGTTTTTATTTCTGTACGTGTATGTCATAGTGAATTTTAATAAAAGTCAATTTAAAGAAAAAATACGTAAGCTAGGCTACTGAAATGAAATACGGACCCAGTTCATCGCAATCTTGAACTAACAATCAAAACCCCGTCTCGAAATATCAATTCGTTCGGGAGTAATCATTGGTACAAAATGGGGTGACATCCGGAAGTTCACGTAAAATTTTTTTTGAAACGTTTTTTTTTTCAAAATAACAACATGAAATGATTTTAAAAAGTGAAATATGGCTTAATTTAAGTGTTTTCTCGGTGTACATATACTTTAATTATTGTATAAGTGTAATATGGTTGTGATACAGGCATTTAAAGATCGCAAAATTGCTTGACATTAACGAGTCGAGTGTAAAGCACAACCTCACGCGCTTCGCGCTATGAGGCGTGCAGTTATTGGGTCCGAGTTGGATTTTAATAGTTTTTGTCCAATATTAAATTCATCAAAAATTTATATATGTATACAAAATTACTCAATTATAACAAAGGTATTAAAATTGCAATAACTCAAATAGCAACAGTAGCGACACAAATATCGCATGATTTATCTCAAACGAGATTTGTTAACTAATAACAAATCTTATTTGAATGAAATAAATGAGCGAATTCATTCAAATAAACCAAAACCAAATATTATTTGGTTCAAAGTAATCCATATTTAAATTAAACGAATTCGTTCATATTAAATCTATATTTTTAAGCTATTTTAAATTAATTTACGAATATCTTTTGCTTTAAAAACTACAAAAAATTTTGTAATATGCATGAAAAACAGTTGGATCTCATATTTAAATTTTTAAAAAAATTCTCTACCAACACAATTACTAGATTTTAGATGAACTTTAAAATGAATAATAGCTCTATTTTAGAGTTCAATGATCTGAAAACTTTTTAAAGCAGTTGAATCTCGAATATAGCAAGAAGTTCTATTAATATGGCCTGTAGGGTAAACCTTCTTATTTTTTTTTTCCCCAAAACTTTATTCAAAATATTCAAAAGACGAACAGAAAATTATTAATTATAATTCGAATCGTGCAGTTGAAACTGAAAAAAAAGTTTTTGTAAACAGCAACATAAAATCTTCAATTTATTAATTTTGAATAATTCAATGGCAAAGTTCATTGATATAATGAACATTTTATTGTTGTTATTAAAACGCACATGAATTCAATCGATGACATGTAGAGGTTGCGTACAGAATATATCGCGTTGCTTCAAGATATCTTGCTCAACATAATTTTTATTTACAAAATATAATTTATTATACATAAATATCCTGTCTTTGACATTCGAATAAATAGATTGAAGACGTCACGCCACAGTCCGCAATAAACAACGTCAATGATAAGTAAATTATACTACCCAGAGAACCATGCTTATATTCGATGATTCCTTCGAATTGACAAAAAATTCTCAAAATTCGTCACGTATATTCGACATTAAAAAAAAATATCAATTTTCTCTATGGAGAAAAAAGGTTAACTTAATGTCATGAGTCATGATTATGAACTATAGTGAAAGAAATATATTTCTATGTCACACTACCAGGAAATTTAATAAAGCTATAATTGAATTTTCAACAGTTAACCTACGTACGTGATATGCCTGTTAACACAAAATTTTGTTTTGCTTATTATTGTATCTATTCTTCGAAACGCTTAATGAACATAAATAATGTTTACACCGAGTTCTGGTTTAGCTAGTTGTGAGTAATAATTATAAAAGTGAAAGGAAAAAAATAATAGAGTACTTACTCGCGAGTTGATGTCAATCTCCGTAATCTAGGATGTGCTTTAACTGTTCGTTCTTTTTTCACTACACGTCTCCATCGCCAAAATTTAAACGAATCCATATCCTAATTAAGAAGCTTCTAATCTTTTGATAGCTGAATGCAAATCTTGAATATAAAGGAACTCAAAACAGATATAATAATATTCCTGGCTGCTTATCAGACGCCCGCAGCGTAACTGCAAAAATATCTGAGGTAAGAAATACTTCGTGTCTCGTGAGTTAGATAATTATTTGATTGAATGGATGATAATTACACGCTTTGTCTGTTCCATATGACGCATGCTAAGTACATCCAAATTGAATAATTTTAACATTAATTGTCTCCGTGATTACATTTTCGCGAGTATTCATTTAATTACACGTGGAATTTTTAATATTTAATCGTTGGGATTACCGGTGTTTTGTTAAAATGTATAGTAAGTTAAGTTATGAATTACTGGTGGAATACCCAATGTTTATTTTATCACAAAATATTGGATATGTGTTGCGTTGATGATATACACTCATGTATTTAAGGTAGATGATTGTAATTGCTCGTGCAAAAATTCCCGAAAAATTTCATATTTTTATATATGGCCTGATATCTTCTGATAAGGGAATGTATTATTATTATTGATGTTTTGGTAAACCCATGAATCCATTCCATGTTAGGTCATATAAGAATACGTCTGGCTTAATATAATGATATGTTCCGATATGACTTAATATGCCTATATAGAACTCACTATGGTTATGTATGCTCACTAGAGTGCATCGAAATTTAATCTCTAAAAGCAACCTTTTAAAATTGGAATTTTGAGTTCCGCTTTTAGCAGGAGTTAGGTTTGGGCATTTCCTGAGATATTTTGGTGTGTCAGGATTTATTTGATGCTCACATAATTGTTTAACAAGAGTTTTGAAGCAATTTTTCTGGAATTTAAAAATTTCAAAATTTGGCCAAACAAAACTCCTGTTAAAAAATTCTGTGAATATCAAATAAATTGTGACACATCAAAATATATCAGGAAATGCCTAAATACAGCTCCTGTTAAAAGCGAAACTCAATATTTCAATTTTAAAAGGTTGTTTTCGAAGATTAAATTTTGACGCACCCTAATGCTCACATGAAATGTTCGGACCATTGAGACAGAGAATTATTTCCAACATCACTGTTCTGCCTTTCCTTGTTTAAGTTATTTGTTAAGTTCTCCGGGCACACTTTCGCTAAGTGACTCTTTTTCTCACTTTGGAAAAACATTACGGTATCAGAAAAAACATAAATCCAGTAGTTGGTATCATCAAAATTAATCTGTACTTGTTTCGGTAGTTTATTATAATCATCTTTTAAGGCAGTTCTTCCCCTGCAGTCCAGTCAAAATGTTTTGGATCTCTACCTCTGTATCGCATAACTGTGGAGCTAATGCTATAGTTCACGTTTTTCTGATCGGATTGTACTCCTCATACTACTGTAACCTCTATACAAATACGCGCACACTATTAATAATTAGCTTATATGAAAATCTGGCAACATCGTATATTTATTCTCTTAATTGCCTTTGTACAGCCCAAACTCATTTACAGTTTATGCACGCGATCTAAATGTAAACATTTAAGTCATGTAAATTATTTTAGTTATGATTTTAATAAATAAATAAATTATGGGAGACCGACTACGTCATAGGGAAAGGTTTATAAAGAAGAAAGTACTAAATAAGAAAATGAAATAGTGAATAGCTTACGAGATAATTAAATAAATAATACATTTATAAATTAAAATAAAAAATTAATAAATAATAGAATAAATAATTAAATAAATTATTAAAAACATATAAATAAATTCAATTAACTAATCATTTAGTAATTTGTTTCTTTATTCTCACTTCATTGTTGTAAATTAATATTTATAATCTGTTAATAACTATCAATGAAACATATATAATCATTTATTCATTAATATTATTTGCATTATTTCATTATATGTATT